CCTATGAAGCACTGGGCGCGGAAGCCAGAGAACAGACTCCGAGAAGAGAGAGTACATGGGATGAGCGAGACGCAGACATCAATGCATTAGCAATGATGGGAGTGTACCAATGGGTGGCTGCGAATGGATGCAAATCGTACGTTCCAAACGCCATCGCAAAGCGTTCTGAGAGCAGTGAAAGTAGCACTGTTAGTAGACTGCCAACTAAATTGTATCGTTTTCGGGAAGAATATTTCTGATGAATTTATGACAGAGCTAACGGCTAAATTAAAAATAAACGCTGAAAAATTCAAAAAAAATGGTGAACGATGCAACACCATGGAAGCTGTCATGGAAAATTCTGCTTCTCTCTACATACTGCGGAGGGGCCCAAAACGATCGGCATGGCACGGTAGGCAACCTGTCGTCCCATGGGGGGATTTCACTTCAAAAGCCACTTTCACCTGCCGGAGAAGACGACCGTTTCGCACAATAGTTAAGAACTGATAATATGAAAAGTAAACTAAAATAATACATGCAAAATAACGAAATACTATGTCATATTATCGCAAATTTTTCAAGGGCCGTTGATGAAAATTCCTTGCACCTTTCTCTCTCAATTTTCATCAATTCTAGCAGAACATGGAAAGTCTAACATGGGTTCCCCTTCATATCGATCTCACAAAAAACAACCACAAAAATCAAAACAAAAACAACTCTGACACAACCCCACGGAAAAACAATGGCGCGACGCCTTAATAGTATTCTGGCCAAAGAAATCAGCTTTTCCACCAACCTGAGAAACGTCTTCACCGCGCTGCTTATCGTCTTGATCTCCCACTCGTCATCGTTGAAATTCAGCTTGTCTCCGTTCGGTTTTCGTTTATCCAAACCGAGTTGCATCAATTTTTGCACTTTTGACGTTACACCACAATTACGATAGAGGCCTTGCTCTCGAATTCCTAAGGGATAACTATGAAAATTGGGCCACGTTTTTCATCGAAATTCTCAGAACTGAGGTACATCCAGATGACTAGTTTCCAGATGAAACCAAAACTAAGCTTACCTCTTTCTTCGAGGAACGCTATACATTGTTGCACGAATTCGAACCCAGTGTCATCCAATTGTGCTGAAAAAACTCGAAATCATAAAAAAATGGAGTCACTTGAAGTTTAACGACTAATTAACTAAAAAGTTACTTAAATCAATTTATAGTTACTTCTTATAGCTCTTAGAAAAAATGAACTGCCATTGATGAATTTGGTGTGTCTCTTCTGAACAACAAAGGGCAAACTCTATTTCAAAAGGCGCCGACCCAAGTAAATAAATAAAAGCTAAACAATAGCAAATAAATAAATAAGTAAGCAAATAATCTTCATAGTAATTTGTAAGTAAATACTAGCTAATAAATAAAAAAAAAAAACTTCAATGACATTTTCGCAATTTCGATAGAATATTCTCGAACACTCATTAAAAAGTGCTGACTGAAAATAGTACAACCCATGGTTAGAGGGATCTTTTTTCCAAACAGCTATTCGATCAGCAAACACCACTATGACAGCTGAAGAATTGCACTAATTCAGAATTTACAAATTCATCACAACCCAGGTTATTTTTAAAATCTACACGAATCCTCATTAGCTAGTTCGATATACTTATTATCTACGAATAGTCATCCTCAAATGGAGCTTACTTTTTATTTGTCGTATAATATTTAGTCAGTCTGATAATCTGCTATTTTTTTTTATTTATTTACTTATTCGTTTATTTAATTAAGCTATTCAAAAATTTCTCCGATAATTATCGCTCGATATCCTTTTCAGCATCACAATAGACATTCAAGACTTTCACTTTGTTAAAAGGAAAACGGAAGAAATGGGGAAAAACATTGGCCTATTTGAAAAACAATCATTTGACGTTGTAAATTATACTTCTGCCTCGAGGGTTCTACGGTGGAAGATCTATTTGGGCTGAAATATGAAAGGAAATGCCCGAAATTATGGCCGAAATAAATCTTCCCCCTTAACAACCTCGAAGTAGAAGTATAACTTACAACATTAAAACAGAACTGGCGAAGTTTTAAGATTAGAGGGCTTGGAATTTTTTACAATTATTTGAAATTCCTCAATAAATATATCATAATTTGCCGAGTTTTAGCATAGCTAGAAGAGTCCAATAAATGAATACCATGACATCCTTCTATAACGAACGCCGGCAAGAATGCAGATCCTTTATGAAATGATCGCAGGCCATGAGCGATATTATAGCCAACTCCGGGTGGAGGAAGCTCTGCCGGCGACGCGTCCGTCCATGACGACGAACGCATTTTACGCGGTGGCTGATTGAAAAATGGGCGAGCAGCAGACATCCACTGAAGCACTTTGGCAGAATTTCTCATAGAATCATCGTCACTTCAGCACCACGCTTTACACAACACGCTCGAAATTACTCGGATTTCCAGCTGATAATGGAGACGAGGTCATACAGAAAAGACGAATGACAAATCATAAACTGTGACATAAGCAAGCGCAGGAAGGAATGTCGTCAGTTCTGACAAGAACACAAATGCGAAACCAACTCTCGAGAATGACGACATTCGTCCGACAATGACAATGGCGGGGCCGGCCAGATGTGGGTGAAAGACGAGGAATGTGTTCAACCCACCTCTCGCCCCTTCACATAAACATCAACCGAAAATGATACTTTCATCGGGGAGAACCTACTCTAGCTCTACCCACATGGTTTGTGTTTCAAACCAGACAATCAAGAATTAATGAGATGAGCAGTGACTGGCAAAGTGAGAACTTCCTGGCGCTAATTTATTATGCGTAATTTCTTAGTTGAGCGCTGCGACAAGAGCACTGCACTATTCGCGCTCAATTAGCCAGGTCAAATCTTATCTGAATCAGCTAAGACTTTTAGCCTTCCCATTGTAGTTGAAAGCCATCAAATTTCGTGGGATCAAAAACTCATTGGAAGTGTCCTCAGCCAAACAACTTCAACTGCACTGGGAAGGCTAGAAGTCTTAGCTGGTTCAGATAGAACTTGATCTGGCTAATTGAGCAAGTATAGTGCACCTCTCCTGTCGCAGCACTCAATAAGGAAATCGCGCATAGGAAATTAGCGCTAGGAACTTCTCACTTTGCCAGTCACCTCAAACTCTTTGATTCCTGATTGTCTGGTTTAAATTCCAAAGCATATGGTTGAGCTCCAGGAGCCATTTTACAGGTCGAAAGTACTTTCAGATGCCTTGATGCTCTAAATTTCGTATAAAAATGTACTGCGTGGCTTATTTCAAACGAATCGATAATTATCTCCCCAATTTTCTCAATTATGCCGCCCGCTCCTAGTGCTTTCGTCGTTCCAGCATTAGTGCACTAGCACCAATTACAGCTTCGACTACCTTCTTAAATATACGAGTCCATAAAATTAACTTAATATATTGTATCTAGATCGCGCTAAAGAACCAGCACACACCAAGTGATGCCACTTTTCAAGGAAGACAACATAAAAACGGGCTTTTGACAAGGGGAGGTGATTTATAGCGTGTCATCCTGCAGGAAGCAAAAGAACGCGGCAGACTCACTGCCAAAACAGAGCCCGACGAGATAAGCTCCGAAAGCTGCTCCGTTGCGTTGGAAACTCATTAAACAGCGATGGAAAACTCACACATACCCATAACAAATTACTAATAGGACCAAAACCAAGAGCAGCACAATACTGAAGGCCGGACGGACGCCGGACGCAAACTGAACACTGGATGTCGTCATTTTGAAGTCGTGAAAGGTGCTACCGGATGAGGTTGCCAGTCGAGCAATGGCCGACTCAATCGAATTTGCAACCCAGGGGGTGCTAAGTAGACACATACTGCGGTTTGGAAGAACTGCGACGAGGTGACTGGCTAGTTGGCTGGCGATGACGACCATCGGGCAACTGACAACGAATTGATAGAAATCCCTTTAGTATAGTATTGCACTTTCTCCAAAAAGTACGTAGAGCTATCGACTAACTCGGTCCATGACATCATCGCGCTTTCTCATCAATGCCGCCGGCCGAAATTGGGGTGCTACGAAAACGACTGGTAATAACTCATAGAGAAGTAAAGTCAATCACGGATAAGAATGATTGTTGGGTAAAAGTGGTATCGGGTAAAACCACCACTTATTCGGGCTGATTCAGGTCGCCAATGAGGCTGCATGAGTTCTCTCCTCCACAGCTGAATAGATTTGACAGAATGACGTGGTGGTCTTTGAGCGTTCAGAATTAATCTAGGAGGCACCATTCATTCATTCACTCACTCACTCGCTCATTTCACAACGACAATGCTGCACCCGTTGAGGGATTCCCCTCCGTCTGCTTTCATTTTGCCTTCATTTTTCCCATGAAACAAATCCCCAAGGATGTGCAACTCTATTACTTAGCAACGCTTAATATTCTGAGAGCTCTTACTGCTGCTGTCCGGCAGAAGCTCAGCTGCATCGACAAAATCACAGAGTTGATAGAGCCGAGGTTTTGCCTGACCGCAGCACTTGGGGATTTCATAAACGAAGAAATTCTATAAGTATAAGGCATCAAAGTGAGGCTTTGTCGAGAATCCATTGAAAGGAACACATTTTACGCCTTCAGATAAGAGAGGCTTCAAGGCCATTCATCTGATGGAATACGGCTCTTCACCCCATCAAAAGCTTTAGCCCACCTGGTCGCAGTGATCCTCCAGCAGCGAAGGAGAAAATGAAAGGATAGGAGGGGGGAAATCCGCATCCCTTGACATGCAATTATTAAGCCCACCCAAACGTGCTCATTTTTCAGGTTCGAATGTTTCCTTGGGCAATTTGGGGAAGCGAGTCCCTCTCCATCTGGAGCCGATCCCACCTGACCGCCATTCGCCTTCCTGTGGTTGTCCTACTTCGCACCTCCTTCCATCTCCAAAAATTTCGTTAACTCCGTTAAGCAGGGGGGGGGGAGGAAGGGGAGGGGGAGAGAGGAGAGCAGTGTACCCATAACTGCTGAAACTGAAAGTGCAGAGCTGCAAAATACGGCCCCCACCTCTCAGTGGAGCTTGCACTAGATGTTTGACCCAGCCTCCTGTCTGGCACGGTACATTTAGCGCAAGAAGAGCTGTAAACCGGCACTGTCGCATACGGGGGCATTCTTTGGGGACGAGCCTAGGAAGGGGGCAGGAACGCCTAAACGGCAAAATGAAAATGGCTCACGCACCCTGGAGTCCCACTTTCTCTGCTTGAGGCTGAGTCCCATTTTTAACGAAAAGGAGACGTTTCAAGCGGTCTAGAATGTATTGTCACCACAATGCCCCCATGTCTTGCGATAGCGCCTGCTAACCTTATCCCTGCTCCACAAAGTGCTAACCTGAACGGATCCATGCGCCCTTCTTTACCCAATGCCCCGTCTTATTAATTTTTAGATGCGAATTTCGACGGAAAAATTAGAGTACATTCAGAAAGGGCGACAAATTGATTAGGGCTCGCTTGTCCAAACAAAATGCGCATTCCAAGTGCGCTTTTTGAGCACCAACTGAAGTACCCCAGAGGCATATGATACTTTATCGACGACAGACATTAGGACTACATCCAGGCTATAAAAAACACTGTCCATATCAATTAGTGTTGCGGAAAATTCTATTGACAGGACCAGCAAAGAGGATGGGCCGATTCTGTCAGCAGTCTTCCACTTAGATAATAGAACACTTTAGGCCGAGCATCAGCAACGAGGCCATGTGGTCCACCTGCAACCTATAACCTACTGAAAACTCCAACGGAATCCCCGTCGTATCCACCAGAATTCCAATTTTTGAATACACCAAGACCCTTGCTGTTTCATTAAGTCTAAGTGCATTTCAAGGATAACCAGATAAAGAACAAGAAGTGCACAAGCCATCCCAGACAAAACTGAACATAACACGATTATTCGAAGACGACGCTCGTCAGAATCAGGCTTTGGCCAAAAGCAGCAGCAGCATCAGCAGAAGGGCGCTTTGCTGGCCAGTGTGAGCTCACAAAAAGTAGAATTCAGCTTTTGACTTGACGAACGGAAATCTTCCAGAAAACAATCCAAATCAATAGAATGCGGAGGACGAAGAAGCTGAACGGATGTTGAAGGCCGAATGCTGACGAGAAAGTCTCGACAAAGACCTCTACGATTGCAATGCTTTGCGTGCGAGGCTGTTAGACTTTTCGGGCGTTTTTGAATGAATATTCAAACGACGGCTACATGCCGTCAATTTCTGCGAATAACGAACAGATTCGGCTATTCCGTGAACTTCACTCGGCCATCTTCGTCTGCGCACATAACTTAGTACATGTCACGGCAGAAAAGGATCTTAGAAGGGAACTTTTGATATGTAGATGGTCATCAAGGCGCTGTGGCCACCCTGGAACATCCGCTTACCATTCCGATGCGATTCAGTGAAGTCAGCCAACAACGGGCGAAACGGAAATGAATGAAAACGGAAACAACATCCCACGCTGCGGATGATCACGACTTTAGCCAAATCGCCAAACAACCAACGCCAGTCGTTAGTAACACCATTTCACAGTGACGACTACTAGTTGAAGTAGGACGAACACATCCCAAACACCTCCTCCTCAAGCATACTGGAGCTTGAAGTCGGACAGAACGCGTGTTCTCGTCAAGCAGCAACAGCACCTTGGCTGAATGTATCCCTGAGGATTTAGTGGAGCAGCGATGCAGTATAAACACGCCTAACGGCACGCTAACTCTTGGGTGACATTAGGTTACTCGAACACGACCTTCCCCCCCCCCCCCCCCCTCCCCTCATTTGACTCCGCTACTTCACAGCCATGCAGCAGGGCTCTAGTTTGCTAATGGTGTGGGTTCTTTCACATTTTGCACATTTTGCAACACGCATTGAATCGTTTAACCTTCTTTTCAACTTATTTATAAGGCTTTCGACCGGTTAAGGCCTTGGAAGTGAGAGGGGAAGGGACATTCAAAACACCAGGTGGCACTTAGGGCCCAGGAAGGCACGGGGGGGAGCCCGGGAAAACACGCCACGCGGTTTGGGCGAAAATTACGCAGAGCGCAAGAAACCTCCATATACTAGGAAAACTGCTAATAATATGCTGCAGCAGGCCAATGTTGATGGCTATGTTTTTATCTCTCCGGACAAATGAGGTAGCAATTAGGAGACCACCTAATCGGTAATGGGAAAGACCCTGACACCACAAAGGGAAGACTTCCACACCCATCAACGGCTGAAGTGGATCTGAACCGCACAAAAGCATACTGTATTTGGCCTTTACTGAGAGCCCAGTGAGCTCTCATTTCCCAGTTACTTCCAATGACAGCGCTGATGGATTGACCGCTCACGTCTTCAGCATTCCCCATGCC